CCTGGCTGCAAGGTGCTCTTGTTATGCAGATAAACCTAATGATAACAGACCTCAGGGACTTGTTTTTATTCAGACTTTTAAGGGTGCAAGACTCTCTGCAGACCTGTCCCAGATCAAATAGGCAAGGCCTGGATGCATTCAACAGAGACCCTCTACAAATGCCAGTCTCTCCCCCAGCCTCCCCACCTAGACAGCCTTACAGCAAATTCCCGCTTGCCCACAGCCATCTCAAAATATGACAAAGACATGTATATTGGATTAAAATATTTCTTATTTCTTTTAGCCCTAAAAAAAAAAAGCCTTCCAGATATACACCCCTATAAAATAAGTGCATGTCAATTATAACCTTAGGACTATAGAACTCCTAAATGTCGATTACAAGTTTATCCCCACAGATGCAAATCAAGGAAGAGATATGACCACTCTTCTCTCTGCCAGGAGAAGACTGACAACATTGACTGCTTCCTCTAACCCCCTTTCTGAACTTTCATTTTATCTCATGTAGATTTACTGGGCACCAAATGGAACTTCACAAGAATACTATCAATACAATCACTCCTCACCCCTCCCTTTTTCCTGTGCACCCCCTTTTTCCTTTAAATTCAAAATTTTCAACCTCTTATAGGAAGATCCCAGTCCACAACACATAATTTGTGGGCTGTGCTTTTCCCAGGTGCATCCTTAAAATCTTGGCTTAATAAACCTCAGTTGAATATGACTCTCTCAAACCGGAAGATTCACTGAAAGATCAACTCACAACAAGGCAGATTAATAAGTGAAAGAGGTTTATTTATCATGCACAAAGGGAGAATCACAGAGTGATTACTCAATATCCCAATGGGGTCCAGAAATTTATATACCCTTCTTTTAGAGGAGAGGAGGAGATGAGGAATAATAGATAATTCTGTTTGGAGGCAATAAATGATTACTAGGGAGGATAAATAGATACTTGGGAGAATGGATGGGAGAAATATTGACTTGAGAATGATTCTCTTTGCAAATCAAATTAACTTGAGAGACAGGTATTACATTTAAAATGATTTGGGCCAGGTCTGGTTACCCACAGCCATCTCAAAATTCTTGCATTCTTGATCTTCTTTCCTATAATATACTGAGATAACAGGGATGGGAAGGGAAGTTGATTGTTCTTTTTTTTTTTTTTTTGAGACCGAGTCTCACTTTTGTTGCCCGGGCTAGAGTGCCGTGGCGTCAGCTTAGCTCACAGGAGCCTCAAACTCCTGGGCTCAAGCGATCCTCCTGCCTCAGCCTCACGAGTAGCTGGGACTACAGGCACGCACCACCATGCCCGGCTAATTATATTTATATATATGTTTAGTTGGCCAATTAATTTCTTTCTATTTATAGTAGAGATGGGGTCTTACTCTTGCTCAGGCTGGTTTTGAACTCCTAACCTTGAGCAATCCACCTGCCTCGGCCTCCCAGAGTGCTAGGATTACAGGCATGAGCCACCGCACCTGGCCTGATTGTTCTTTTGATTGGTCTGGTTTTTCATGAAGAGGAAAAGTTCCTTCCCAGGCCTGTTGATTTCTAAGGGCCTTTAATTCGAAATACTCTTTATACCAAGGAGTCATATTTTATTGTGAAATTTCCTGAGCTCCTTCACTGGTCAATGTTTTCTCTGCTGGCCACCTCAATAGATAATTTAATTGTATCATATGAGTCTACAATTCAGGATCATGGCTTTTCTAAATGATTTTGTGCTAGTTCTTTATTAACAAATGCCTGGTCTTCACATTTCAAATATTATGCCACATATTCAGGAAAGCTAGAGTTTTTAGCCTGCTAAAAGGGAGGTTTTTAAAGGGATCACAGTCAAGTGCCTTTCCAAGGTGACTGCTCAGGCCTCGACACTCTCCTCTGAGAACTGCTCGCTCTGTTCACAGCAGTGCTTGAAAATACATTCAGCACCCACGCTTGAGTTGTATGCTCTTGTTTGCTGAGCTCGGACAGAGCCTCCTCCCTGTAAGGTTTTTTTGGCAGTGAAAGAAACAGAGAGAGAGAGAGAGAGAGAGACTGGGGCCAAACAACGTGGCTTTATTTAGCACTCCCGGGTGAGGTTCTGGTGTCCCAAGAGAGGGGGGCCTGAGAAGTCACATCTGTTTGAAAGGGGTAAGGCCTCTTATACCGTTTGGGCCAGGCTAGGGACTTTGGCGGGAAGAGCTGGGGTGACCTTTGGTGGTCATTGGGAAGTAGGAAGGGCTGGCGGTATTTGTGGCGTCCAGGACCCAAAACTTTTGTATCTGGGTGGACATCTGGGTGTGGTTCCTCTCAGCGGGGCCTGGCGGTTTGTCCTTGGTGGGTCTGGTCTCCTGGGCCTTTTCTTTTTTGATCTAGGGAGAGGAGGGGGCCCCTGCCACCAGCCTTACACTCCCCAGGAATTTAGAACTGGGTAGAGAGACGTGCTCTGGCTGTCTTTGGCCCCTTGATCTGCTCACAGCCCATTCGGGTGCTGTGGCTGAAACAGCAAAGGTCAGCCCGCAGGGAGAGAAGGCGGCCGATTCAGGGAGAAGCGGAGCAGGGAACAAAGCATAGCACTCCCAGGACCTTGTTGAATCTCAGTTACTTTCTGTCTTGGGTGGCCTGAGATGCCTCTAATACTTCCAGTATATCCTTTCTTCTGCCAAAGCTGTTTTGAAGTGGTGTTCTGTTATGGGCCACCTCGAGAGATTCGGTTTTGATAGTTAACACAACCATAAACCCACTTATACCTGTTATGCTTAAATTCACAAAGGAATTTAGTACAGCCATTTCCAATGACTAATCCACATCAATTGCGTTAGCTTTTTCTTAAAGTAACAGCCATGCTGTCTTTTCTGGTCAAAGAGGAAACCACTGACCAAGGACGGGCTGAGCTGGGTTTCCAGTAAAGGGGGGAAAAGGAGGCGTCTCTTCCTATGTCAAGGCAGCGAGGCAAATATTTACACTTGGAAACAAAAACTATTCTGAAGATAGAATGTCTCCAAATTTCCCTGTTTGGAAATTCTTCCATATATCTCATCTAAATTCTTCAGAGTTTAACTTGAGCCATTTTCTCAGAAGATCAGAAGACTAATGGTTATTGGTCTAGTTCACATACATACAAGCTATCATTAAGGTGCTGTTCAACCTTCCTGTTTTTGGTTTTTTTGTTTTTTTCTTGGCTAACTAAGCCTATTTCCTTCTTCTTCGCCAAGCATCATCTTTTTGGCTTGACCCAGGCTATAATCTGGTTTGCTCTTCCTTTCCCTTCTGCCCTCCCCCCCAATTCCTATATTAAAGTGGGATGTCAATAAGTCATCTTATCCACCTCCCAAATGTTTCTTTAGCTGCCTCTCTTCCCTCCCCTCCATTCTCTCCATCTCTTCCAGAGTGCAAGCCTTCATAGACTCTTAGCTGTGTTTTGTAACTAACAGGACTGCTCTCTCCTGTCTTCCTGCATCCTACGTAGAACTGCTGACGCAGGCTCTCTCCTTGGTCAATTCATTTTTCTAATGGCCATGATCATGCCACACCCCTACTCAAAAGCTTTCCCTCGTGCATACAAAACAAAGTCTCAGCTCCACAGCCTTGTGCTCATTCCACATCCTGCAGTAGCTGGTCCAACTGATCTCCCACTGAACCATCTTTGTGCTTCCCATGGCTGGATCAAGGGTGCTCGTGGACGAACATGACCCCACTTTCATCTGCCTTTACTGACCTTCATTACTCTACTTTTCTCCCAAAGCTTAGCTCTACGTGCTTTCCCTTGTGGTTCTTCCCAGTCAGTATGAATTGCTCTGTGTTTCCTGGTTACAGGGTGTACATTTCTTTTTATAGTTCCTACAACTTTTTAAGGTCTGACATATAGTCATGCAGTTGTTGGATATGGGCCTGTCCTCCCCACTAGAAAGCAAGCTCTCTGTGGACAAAGCCAGGCCCTGCACCTCACCATAAGCTCCAGGTCCCTCTCTCAATGCAGGGCATACAGTGCGTGATCATGCATATGGGTTGAATTGGGCTGGAAAAAAATATGTGCCCGCAGACAAGCTGTAGGCCCACACAGTTTCCTCTGGTCATGTGACTTCTGTTTTAGAAGATCTATGAGGTCAAATGACTCAGCAGAATTTTGCAGGTCAGCTCACAGGAAATGAGAGCTTCAAAAGCAGATTCTATTACCACTGATCTAAAACACATGCGCCTGGAGCCCCACACCATAGCTGGGGAGTGTTTCTACGGCACACACCAGGGTTCCGCAGCATGGTTCTGTCCCTCCTGGAGAAGCTGATGGGCCACAGGCTCCCCTGGTGCCTGGTGCCCCTGGAGGGTGCTGGCCAGGCCTGCGGGGCCCTGAGCATGCATACAGAGTGGTACTTCTCTTATCCAAGGATTCCAAATGCCTATTTTCCAGATGATTGAAGCTTGCTTCCATAGGCACCCACTTTTTTTTTTTTAGAGACAGGGTCTCACTCTGTTGTCAGCTGACTAAAACATGACTCTAGTCTTGGGGTATGGGACAGGTCCCGGAGGTGAGGCTCTGCCTGCAGTTGTGCCCTGCTACTTGCTTGGAGGCCTCACAAAAAGGATTGCTTCCAGGAGGAGACTGACAATGGTGAATTTTGCAGCAAGGAACTGCTTACTTCCACAGGAACGGTTGTCAGCAAAAACCTGAGTTAATTGACATCCCTTTTCTAGTTTATTCCAGCGTGGTTTTAGTGCGCTTTCAACGCTAGTATCCTAGGCAATGTCCATACTGCCCCAGGAACTACTTAATTTGCCTAGGTCTCCTGGCCTGAGAAAAGCAGGTAGACTCTGTGACCAGTCTTTTCCTCCAAGACCTTTTCTGGAATCTTCTGTGGCTGAAGAGGCTGAGGTTAATGGCAGTCTGGCCCCCAGAATGGTGGGGCTGCTGCATTTGGAATGTGTTGCTTCTGCATGACATTAAGTGCTCCTTTGAGAGTTCAAGGTTAACCTGCAGGCAAAACAAACTGAGTGGCTTTCTGCCTTGCTTCTTGCATCTGTAGGAGCTGAGGCATTGTCTTGGCAGGAAGACTCAACAAGTTTATGGAAGGAGAAGAGGCAGAGGAAAACTGATCAGCCTAAAGGCAAGATCCACCCTGCTCTCTACGAAGGCCCTCAGTTTATCTTGGCTCTCTGCAACAGCCTCCAGCAGGGGCGGGAGGGAGCCGTTCCCCTGGGGCTGTCTTGGAGCCTGTGCACCTCCCAGCCTCCCCTAGAGGGATTCCCCGGTCCCCAGAGCAGCAGTGGGCGTTTGGCAGGGCGCTGGATTGCTCTTCAATGGACTAAAAGACTCCTTTGGACACTAGAGACCCAGTCGTTTGAGGCTGCCAGAAAAGATGACTAATTTGCTTTTTCTTAACTAAACAACATCAAAAAAAAATGTTCCATGGAAAATTATAAAGGCATTTTTAAAGGAGACTGGGATTCATGAGTCTGTTCTTTATCTTTTTCATTTTCTTCTTAAATTTAACTATTTAGGAAATTGCTTATTAAAACCAAAGGTCAAGATCTTTTCCTCCTTCAAAAGCAAAACCAAACCTAGTCTGTTTTCTTTCACAGGAAGTTCAGCATCTTCCTAGAAGGAAGTGGCCACCTTGCGTGAGTGTCTCAGTACTATTTTGGCTCATCCTCCATAAATAAAATATTGTTATTTAGTTTGGGCTTCTCCCAACTTTTACCCACTTACCTGGTGCATGGGCTTTTGAATCTCCCAGGGAATTTTTGCCAATTGCCACTAACACAGTATTGAAAACTACACAGTCAAATGCCATTATACATACTGTGGTGGGATTCTACATGGACTTGTCGTCGTCCATGGCCCAGAGCAAAACCCGAAAATGAAACAGAATCTCTCACTGCCAAGAGCTTGGTAAAACATGCAGATCCTATCTTCCCCAAGAACTTAACATGGAGCACTCCAGCTTCTGTTCAATGACCTTACCAAAAAAAACCTGTTTAGGGCATCCAGTTTATAGAATATAGGAAGAAGATACTGACCAAAGAGGATAGACTCAGAAATGTTAAGTGTTTTCAAAGCATTAAAATATCATTTCAAAGTAATGAGATCAAAACCAACCACAATTTCAAAGTTCACTTGTGTAAAGCGTTAAGCTCCAAAACATTGATGACATCCAAAAGTTAAAATATACCAAAGTTATGGCCCCTTGCGAATGGATGTACAGAGAAAAAGCTATAAAAAAACCCTTGTTCTTTGGCCCTTTGCATTCAGTTTAAGGCAAATTAGATACAGTCCATCCTCATTATTCCCAGATTACATACTTGCAAACTTGCCTACTCACGAAAATGTATTTGTATCTCCAAAATCAATACTCATGGCCTTTCAAGGTCACTGCAGATACTCACGGAGCAGCAAAAAAATTGAGTTTCCCAACGCACTCACTCATTCTTAGCTGATCTCAAACAAGACCATGCTCTGCCTTCCTGTTTCAGCACTCACACTGGAAACAGCCTTTTCATGGTCTATTTAGTGCAAGCTTTCCCACATTCTTCTGCTTTTTGTTGATGATTTTGCTGTCTAAAATGGTCTCCAAAATCTAAAAATGTTGAACTTATAGAAACAGAGTAGAACTTATAGAAACACAGTAGAAACTGAAAAGATGTTGGTCAAAGGGTACCGAATATTAGTTATAAGATGAGCAAGTTCTGGGGATTTAATGTACAGCATGGGTAGTGATGGATGTGTTACTTAATTTAATTGTAGTAATCATTACACAGTGTATACATATGTCAAATCATCACATTGTATACCTTGAATATATTCAGTCTTTATTTATCAATTAAATATTTTTAAATGAAAACATAAAATAAAATAAAATGGTCCCCAAGTGTAATGCCAAAGTGCTATATAGTGGTCCTAAGGATAGGAAGGCTGACATGGAGAAAATACATCTTAGATAAGCTTCATTCAGGTACGAGGTATAGTGCTGTTGGTGATAATGACCTCAATGTTAATGAATCAATAACATAATAAAGAAAGTGTCTTTAAACAGAAACACAGAGTTATGTATTGATCAGTTGACAAAAACATGATCAGAGGTTGGCAGGACTCTAAAGCTGTATTTTCCCCAGCTACGATGGTTCAGTATTCACTAATTCAATGTTCACAGCAACTGCATAGAACATAACTACCAAGAGTAACAACAATTGACTATTTGCTCGAGCTTATGGTTGTCCTTTTAAGGGAATTTAATTTATGTAGTGTCTCTTTGTTGTGAATTTTATTAAGTACCTATTATGGGTGGGGGCACCATGATAGCTCCTTAGAGGGCCCAAAGGTGACCAAAGCCAATGCCCTTGCCATTCCCATCAAGAGACGGGGTCTATTGACTCCATGAACTGTGACTCTTGGCAGAACTTCATAACTGTCTTGATGAATAGAATGCGGCAAAAGTGACAAAGCCTTTCAAGGCTAGCTCACAGAAGTTAATACAGCTTGTACCTGGCTCTTTTCCTGGGGCCACTCACCCTTGGAACCCTGAAACCCAACCACCACATTGTGAGGAAGCCAGCCCACCACGGGAAGGTCAAGTATACGTGTCCACCTTCAGCCAGCAATCTGCATCCACTGCACAGGTAAGCAAGCAGACTCTCAGGGACTCCAGCCACCTGCCTCAGAGCTGCCCCAGTGGACACTGAGTGAGCAGAGGCAAACAGTTTCCTCAGAGCCCTGCCCAAATTGCAGATTTGTGAGCAAAATAAATGCTGCTATTGTTCATGCAACTGAGTTAGGGAGCGGTTTGTTATGTAGTAACAGAAACCTGATACACTGTTCCTAGGTCGCTCAGGCCTAAAACCTTGGCATGGGCCTTGCCCCCTCTCTTTCTCTCATACCACTTCTCTCTGACCCAACTCTGTCAGCAAATTCTCACAAAATATGTCCAAAATCTCTCCTCTTCTTACCATCCATTGCTGCCACCATGCCCGGTCTGTCACCACTGTTCCCCAAATGCTTTATTGCAATAGCTTCCTAACTAGCCTCCCTGCTTCCACCCTAATTCTCAACATAGCAGCCAAAGTGATCCTATTAAAATGTAAGTCACATTGTATTAACTCTCTAATCAAAAGCTCAATGGCTTCCCCATCACTATACAATATGTTCCCACCCCCATAATTTTCAGTCATCATTTCCTACTATTCTCCCCCTTGCTCACTCTCCTACGTCATGTTGGCCTTCTGCTGGCCTCCCTAATGTTCCTAATACACACCAGGTCTGTCTCCACCTCAGGCCTTTGCACATGGTCCACTCCTTCACCTCCTTCTAGTTTTTACCCAAATGTCACCTTCTGTGTGAGCATGGCTCCGCCACACTATCATCTTTCCCTGCACTATTTTTCCCCATTGCACTTCCCACCACTCACACCAGCTTAACTACTCATCTGCTTCATTGCTTGCTGCCCCACACAGAGAGTGCCACAGAGCAGACAGTGGACTGCTAGCTCTGTGAGCCAGGGAGTTCTGTCTATTTTCCTCACTGTTGCATCCCTACTGTCTTAGACAGTACCTGGTTGGCACATAGAAGACCATTCATAAACATTTGTTGAATAAATGACTGGGATTAAATGCTTTTGTTGAAGTCACATCTTCTAGATGGCCATGGGAGAATTTGAACCCAGGCCATTTGCTCTAGTTTTTATACCAAGTTATATTCATCAAGATAATTTTAGCTATAATAATAGAATACTCAGATAAAACAAAGAAGAAAATGTACTATCTTACAAAACAAAATACCTTGAGGTAGGTGTTTCCAAGGTTAATTATTTCAGTAGCACAATGATGGTATCAAAGACCTAGGTGTTTTAAATCTCTTCTCATTGCCATCCTTACTTAGAGTAGCACATTGTAATTCTCAAAGATGACCACACCTACATATTTATCTAATAGCACATGCTCTTCATGCAATGTGACTGACAACTGACACACCTCTCATCAAGACAGGGGCTGGTGTTCTCTCCTCTCAACTTTAGGCACGGGATTGTGACTGTCCCAATCAATACAGCAAGGCAGAAAAGATGCTCGTGACTTCTAAGGCCAGGTGACAGACAGGATACAGCCTCCACCTGGCTGGCTCTCTCTTTCAGGACGCTTGCCTTTGGAACTCGGCCGCCATGTTGCGAGGAAGCCCTGGGCATCTGGAGATGCCAGCATGGAGAGAATCTAAGGCCTCCCTTCAGCAGGCAGCACCAACTGCCAGCCACGTGAGTGAACTATCATGCAAGTGGGCCCTTCAACCCCAGTCAAGCCTTCAGATAGCCACAGCTCCAGCCAACATGTGATTGCAACCTCATGAGAAACCTCCCAGCCAGGACAGCTCTCAAATTCCTGACACATAGAAACCATGGAAGATAATAATTATTGTTGCTTTAAGCCACCGAGTTTTGGAGTAATTTGCCAGGGAGTATTGGACAACTAATACACTTAGCATGTTGTCTTTGCACTTGTCCCTTCATAGTTAAAGCATGGAAGATATAGCTCCTGATATCACAATATGACAGAATATGAAGAGATATGGCAATCTCTTCTGGACATAATTCAATTAAATTTATAATAACTAGAATCTTCTGAATCCAAATCTAGATACAGGATTGTATCACTAAGAGCTACAGGACTGGCTATATACTCCTTTTAAGCAAGAGCAAGTAGCTGCGCTAAAATATTTTAGACAATCCACATATCTTAACCACTAGTAAGCTCACTTATAAAACCCTGTTTGTAGCATCCATTATACTAATTAAAAAGCCACTGATTTCATCAGTGGAAACCTATTTCTAACATTTAGTATGCCAACTAGCAAAGCATCTGCTACTGATCACAGATAAAGGTCAGGGGAGCTCTTATAATAGCTGCTTCTGGAGTGCAGACTTCCTAATTAGAATGCTGGCTGTCCACCCTAGGATGTGAATTGCCAATTAGGGCAACAACTGTGCCTAGTCCTAGGGTATAATGTAACCCAGAATCCACACATGAAATCGCACTGCCTGTGATGAAGTATTTTAAAGTAAATTAGACGCATAACACCCAACCTGGTTTTCTTATTGTAAGTTCATTTCCATCTCCCCTTCCAAGCCCCCCCCCTCAAGTCTCACTGTTAACTTGCACTTCTGAGGAGCCCAACCCACTCAAACCCAGGAAGGGGTTTCCTTTCCGATACTCTCTCCAGTATGTGCTGCAGACGCCCTGTTTTGGCTCTTAGATCAGCTCAATGCATGCCTATTTTCCAAGGAAGGCAGTAATCCTGGAAGACAGCTCAGTTCAAACCTACATTCAGGAAGGACATATGCTGTATTTCTTTAACTGCCTCATAACTTGCAATTAGAATCAATAATTCTTGTGTGGTTGAAGATAGGATTTGGTCTCTGGGAGCCTCCCAAGCTGAAGATCAGGCTCCTGTTATTCTTTAATGGTTTTCACATGAAAGACATTGAAAAGGTACAGGTACGTCAAATCCCCACCAAGTATCTGTGTCCTATTCGGTCTCCATCTGGGGTTGGATAGGAAGTGCCAGTTCTCTCGGTGGCAGATGGCAGCCAAGGTTTATGAAGCTGTGGATCAAGCACGGACACATGGGCATGCGTGAAGGACCATGGAGAGGCCAGTAAAGCCGACCCAGGCCACAGCAGGGGCTGTGCGGAGTAAGTAACCCCAGACTCTAGCCCCACTGCCGCCAACACTGGGATCCCACTCACATGCTCCTTAATCTTTCTTGGCCCCAATAGTTTCTCACTTACAAAACAAAAGGACATAAGATCTCTTCTAGCTGGATAGGCTAATCCTGGCTACTTGAAGCCATTGGTTCTGCACAAACCTGGCACGGGAGACCTTCTTTGTTGTTCCCATATTTCCCTCCTCTGTTACTCTCCCTCCATCCCTCTTCCCATATCTTCCCCTCCTTTCCCTTCCATCCTGCCTTCCCACGTGGAGTACCTGCTAGGACCTCAGAATGCTCCTGGCCATCAAGAACTTCATCATCTGGTAAAGGACATATTAACAATAATTACTATAATAACTATATTTTAATGAGAATAAACACTAAAATGCTAACTGCCAATATTTACTGGGCTCTCACTATATGCTGGGGATCATGCTAAGTGCTTTTCATGCACCAGCTCACCTAACGTAATTCTGGAAACATCCCCATGTGGCAGGAACTGCTATTATCCCATTCTGCGTTTCAGAGAAGTCAAGCGATGAACCATAAAGCCCACAGGTCTCACCCAATAGAGCCTTTTGAATAACTAAAAATCACAGTGCTACAGGACTAGTGCTATCCTCAGGGCATGTAAAACAAGCAGTGAGAAGCTGACAAGGAGAAAAAGATCTCTCCCTGAATGAATCTGGAAAGATTCTTCAAAGAGGTACCATTGAAGAACGAGACGGCCTTTTACCTGATGGAGAAGAATCTAATTGCAAGAGTAGGTTAACTCATAACTTAGAGAGTGATAAAGAAGAAATCAAAAATGCCACTGTCATCTAATACTGTCACAAGAAAGGAAATTACTTAGGTTTTCATCAGGCTATATGTTAACACAGATAATGCATCATTTTTTTTTTCCCCACACACATCAAAAATACTCACTTCATGTGAGTATTCACATTCTCAATGAAGCAAGAATTGTTGCTTCATTTCCTCCTTTATGCTAAGTGATGCCACTTACATTTGTGGAAATCGAGTTATCTTTCAGCCTCCTGCCTTCCCCTATTTTCTGGCCTATACGTTTGTTAATCACGTGATTATTCCCCAGGAAATGTGCTCCAGCGCACTTTACTTAAGAAATGTTCTCGAACAGATCGGGGAAAACCCCTTCACTTTCTAGGAACATTGGCAGCCTCATGAAGGCTCTAGGTGACTGTTCCCTCAATTAAGTTCTGGATTCAACTCATAGCCAGTCCCATAGTTCAGAGTTAGAAAGTACAGAAATTCGATGGTTTTGCTGCTCAGCACTTGTACCCTCTTCTTTAGATAATGGGAACTCAGATTTTCTTGGGGAACTACTTCTCCCCCAATCTCAGGCCACGGGCTCAATCGAGGTTAGCAGTCATGATCCTCGCTGGGCCACTGGGCATCAGCCTTGGAACTTTCCTAGGTCCTCTTGGAAAAGAGGCAAATTTTTCCCATTTTTGATTAACAAAGCTGGTGGGATATGAGTTCAGTACTACAAGGGCCCGTCTTTGCCACCACTTGAGTAGAGCCTGCCTGAAAATGAAGCTAACACAGTGTCAGTGTTTCTGCTCGGACTGGGTAAAGCCCTTTGCAGCTTTCTCCCTGCCCACGCATGAGGCTACTAGTGTCACTGCAACTGGACACTGCCAGAGGCACGCCTGATGGGGACACAGGGACATAGTGATTATGAATATTGCCTTTATTCAAGCAGTGGGAGCTGTATCTCAAACCTGCCATGCTGTCTCCACACCCTGGCTGGGATCCTGTAACTCCTCCAACTACTTAAAAATCACCTTCTTGTCTTAGTGTTAGATTTGTGCTTCTAACTCTGTCCTTGTCCCCTAGCTCATGGCAGAAATACTGCCTTATGTTCTGGCAAACACATCTGTGTGGTTGGTCTGGAGCCAACCTCTTAGAGCCAAGAGCGGCCCCTCCATCACTGAGGTCACCCCCTCTTATGGCCAGAGAGCTCCAGACTTTCCACCTTCCCCTGAGTCTCCAGGGCCTTCAATACAAAGAACGAAGAGCCAGCCTTCTGCATCCAGATCTGTGGTCTCGACACTGGTGCGGAGACTGCTTGTTGCTCACAACAATTCCAGTCTCCAGGAGAGCAAGTTGGGATGTCTGTCCGAGTCTACACGGACCTGCATCAGCATGCACAATGCTGTTTGTTATATGACACAGCCCGGCCAGCTCCCAGAGCTGATTAAATAGCATTATGCCACAAATATTATATCCAACATTATGAAACATTATGACCTTGGGTGATAATACCCTGATTTGCCCTGGGTCATCGGCAGCTCACTAAAAGTCATGCTTGCTGGTGGCCCACTGTGATGTTTCTGGACTGCATTCTGCTCAGCCAGACCATTTGAGATGTTAACATACACATGAGGGCCCCTCTCAGTCTGTTTAAAATCCTCTAGTCTTCCTGGGCTGCTTAAGGAGGTGTCACTGGCATGGTGTGGTCTATTGACTCCACATCTCCATTCCTGATACAACATCACCTTTCCTGCTAGGAACCAGCCAGAAGAACAAAAACCACTCAGGTTTCCTAGCAATGCCTTATTTGTGGACAGATTGCAAAATAGCCACAGTTGACCCAAAGTTTCAGGCAGGTCTCAACTAAGATTGGTTTGCGTTTCCCAAGGTCACTTATAAGCCAATTCTTGGGACTCAGAATGTATTTTCCCATGGAAACAGTGTCATAGACTATAACAAGGGCCTCAGGCCAAGCCACAAGTGCCTACCATAATTGTGGTGCCAAGAGCACTATTTCAATAACTCCCAATCACTATATATAATACTACTTCTATAGGGAAGCTCCCGTTGTGTTTCAAGCTACCACAAAGTGTTCTAAGAACACATTTCTAAGCCCCCACATTCGTCCTGGCAGCATGAGAGAATTACTGCTTTTGATTAAGCATTCATTCATCCCCACAAATACTTATTGAGTATCTATTTTGCACCAGCCACTGCTGCAGGTGCTGGGAACATAGCAGTGATTAAAAGTCACCCCCAAAATGTTCAGCAATGGAAACACAGTGAGCTGCTACCATATTGGCCAGCATAATGGAGAAAGGGCTGTCCTGCTGTTTCTTTCAAAATGACTAGAGTGTCCTGAAGGTACATTTCCATTTTCACCCTAGAATGCAGAAATGCAGACTTTCGGTTTTCTAGCTTAACAATGTTTAGATCTAGTCTTTACTTTGCATTCCATTTTCAAATTTAGTCGTTGACCCTCAAATCAATAAGAAGCAGATCAAGATAAGACATATTCTCTCTTCTTCCTTGTGGCAAAAGAGATCCTGGGAGGCCCATGGTGTCTTAACTGAGCTTGCCTGGCTTGAGGACTTCAGATTCCCTGGGCGTTTTGAAGGGCTTGTGGGGAAAGGGGACGATGCCAGTGGAACCACCAGGCCAGTGGATTTCCAGTCGATTCAGACGGTGAGAAGGGAACTACATTCTTCTGCTTCTTAACAGCCCTCGAAGAACTGTCTGGGTAAGTTCACCTGGACTCTGTTTACCTCTCCAACATTTGCTTCTTCCCATAAGCAACTGCATGTCCTGCTGCAGACATACTCACCTGGCTCTTCAATCCCTCTCATCTGTTCACCCAGAGCATGTGAAATGTTCCCAGATTTAAAGAGTATTTGCTCATTTTCAAGTGCTCATTGTCTCTTATAAAGTGATCTCATAGGTTTTTTTCCCCGCTCTTGGACCGTGTTAAATGGTTCTTTGTGATTGGGGGAGGGAGGGAACAACTTTGCCTTACAGAGAGAAAAACAAACTCCACGAGTAGTAAATCTTCATGACATTTATACCTCCTCTTTTTCCTTCTTAATAGGTTTATTTATCTGTACTAAAACTTGCAATAAGCTTTATTTTGGATTTGCAAAAGGTCCACAATAAAAACCAGGCACCTCCATCATCAGGTTATGAGCTTCCTTAGAACAAGAAGTATCTTTAGTTCTGTTGAAGAGTACAGGATGAAAGATTAAAACAAAAAAAAAAGTAATAAAACAAATCTAATTGTTATGCAGGTATTACTCAAAAACTGGCGTTCACTACCAGGGTAGCACATTTTCCTATTGACCTGATATCAGAAAAAGCAAAGCAATCTTCTAGAGACCCAGATAAAATGTGTCTGGAACACGTCTGTTTAAAATCATGGGAGGGGAAAATTATATTTGTTGTATTTGGCAATAATAAATTTGATCTAGACATGTGGAGAGGATAAAAAAATTCTTTCTCCATAACTTTTATTCCCTTGGAGAGTGGCTTCCCAAAATCCACTGAAATGAGTTCAGATACTCAATGTCTGTACACAGCTTCCCTCTGACCTCCCTGGAGCGAGCACTGCAGCGTTCCGGCCCCAGCGCCAGGACCCTGGGACCGTGCGCCAGCCCACGGCACCAGCGTCCATCCTCTCCCCTCCTGCGGCTCCTGGTGCCACACACTGAGATGAAGGAGAGAGGAAGGTAGCTGGGCCTCCTCTCCTTTTTTCTCACCCTCCCATCCACAGGGATAGGATGTGGCAGTGGGACCAGAAGAGAAGAGAAATGAACAATTGTTCTCCCGTTCCCTTTAGGGGTCTAACATGGAGAACAGAAGCCCAGCACCTGCCAGACACAGCTCAACCTCGAGTGGCATTCATCTGGGAAAGCCCTCATGTCGTGTCTTCAAAGGCAAGGTGTCACCTTCTCTGGGCTAGACTTATACTTAGCCTATTTGATTCGAGCCTTTGTCACTTTCTAGCCGTATGACTTGGGACAAGCAACAGAGCCTTACTCTTCTCATTCATAAAATTCAAAATAATATAAATATTACCACTTCGAGCTGAGGACTAAATCAATTAACATTTGTACAACATAATAAAGCCACCATATCCAGCACAGAGTAAGCATGCCACAATGGCAGCTATATTCTGAAGTATTACTTGGGTTTCACTTATGTAAAATTACAAAGCCTACACTTTCTTCCCCAGGTTGGAGAAGATGCCTATCCATTTAAGCCCAAGAGATTCAGAGATTTGGCAGTTTACTGACAATGCCCTGTACGAGGCCTAGTGGTCAGTAGGAGAGTTCTAACCTGTATGAAAAGTGCTGTGCTAGATCCTGAAACAAGCTTGGCTTGTTCTTTCTGTTCCAGAATGAATGACATCACTGCCTCAGTCCTTGAACACCAAATGAGAGAGTCATGGAGGGTTTCTTGCAGAGTTTCCCCACACATTTCTAATGCATTTCCTGCAAGCTGACACTGCAACCCCAAGCAAATAAAAAGTTAAGCAACACTTTTCTCAAGTGCCATCTACGTAAAGAACATTATGCTCTGGTTACAAAGCCATGAAGGGTTGGGGAAAAGAATGCAATAAAATACCCATGGCTAGATGGAACGACGGAGGCAGTGTGGGGTGGTGGACTGAGCTGGACATCAGAAAAGCCTTGGACCTGGACCCATCCCCTCCCTTGATAGCTGTGTGCTCTCAGGCAATGACAGTCAACATCGCCGGGCCTGGGTGCTTGAATGTACAATGCAGAGAGTGGCCTAAATCAATCTGAAGGTCCCTTCCAGTCGGTGGACGCAGTGAAGGAGGAGAAAAGAAACGTGAAAAAAAATGTGAGATAAACAACAGAGCAATTCTCACTGCATCCTCAATTCTTAGGCAGTGAGGCCAGGACCACAGGGGCATCAAGTAGAAAGTTTAAGTGCCTACTTTTCCCCATTAGGTTTGTTTAAACATTTCAAATGCTTGAACTATCCACTTTCCTCAGCTGACAGGAGAGCTAGTACTGGGAACACTGGTTCACTGGGGCATAAATCTGAGCTGCTTGCGAGGGCTGGACGCTGGAATGTGAACCTGTCAGGAGCCTAAATAAGGAAACAGGCCGCAGAACAGCTCACTGAGACAAAGGCACCATGGATCCCCGAGTTAGCCTCAGTTAGGAGAGGGGCTTTACCCCCCAGGAGGGAGCAAAAGGACCCTGTGCAAATAAAACCCTGCACACGCATCACCTAACAAGGAGAATCGATGTCAACACAGGCAGATCAGCCTAGAGGGAAAACAAGGCCGGCTGCCGAGCTGAGGAGCAGGCAGGGCTGGGCTGGGCCTCCTGGGGCCCGCTGTCCCGGGTCCGCCCTAAAGATAAAGCAACCCAAACTGGCTTCGGCCTCCTTCCTCACAGCCAGCTGGGGGGCGAGTGAGCGGCCCACCGGGCTTTTCTGTGGAGGCTGCAGACACCACGTCCACGGGAGGCTGGCCTCGCTGCCTATTCCTAACACCTTCGATTCTGAGGTTCTGGGAGCCCCAAGGTTCAGCCCACTCACCTCTCCCAAGCCATGAGCACCCCACCCCTGCTCCCACCTCCATTGGCAGGGCCCTGGCAAGAAGTCTCTTCTTTCCAAAAAATGGAAAGACCCTGAAGTGAATCACAAATCATAAATCAAAGTGCTCTCTTGGGATCTGTGTCTCAGGAAGTAGCCGGAAACAGGATGCCCTCTCATTCCCACACTGGTGGCAGCTGTGGGACAGGGTGGTTTCTCAGAAACACGCTGGGTGACCACTCTCGCACACGCTCCAAGGTGAGAACTCTCCCAGAGGAGCCGAGAGAGCCCGTTCTCACCTGGAGCACACGTTACCAAACACGGCCGCCGGGATTAGGGACAAACAGAAACCAGCAAACCACACACACACCCTAAGAAAACACGCAGAGACGATTCCACACTTGCCAGGCGTTCTCACGCCTCCGTAGCTGTCATCATCCTGTTCCCGCCACCTGGAACACCTTGTTTTGCTGGCTGAGTCGTGCTCGTCCTTTGAGATGCACTGGAGGTCAGAGGCCGCTCCCTGAGGCCCGGCCTGCCTCCCGGGGCCCACACGCCCGAGTCCTCCTTTCCGTCGCGGGCAGGGGCTTCACTCAGAGCAGCTCTGAGGGTGTCACGAGCGCCTGACTCAGTGCCTGGCAAAGAAAGAGCTCCACAGAAGATTTTAGATAAATTGGGTGTTGTCGAAAGTAACATCCTCCTTGCAATTAATTCATGGAAAAAGCACAAGTTGGCCAGGGCAGGAGGGAGCATCCTGAAGAGTGTTCCCAAGTCCCAGGCGCTCGGAACCTCTGTGGGAAGAGCAACGCTGTCCAAGCAATGGCATTTCCCGGCTCGGAGAGAAGAGTCAACTGGTCCTTGAAAAAGGACATTTTTTTTTTTTTTTGAGACAGCTAGAGTCTTTTTTGTTGTTGTCCAGGCTAAAGTGAGTGCCGTGGCATCAGCCTAGCTTACAACAACCTCAAACTCCTGGGCTCAAGCAATTCTTCTGCCTCAGCCTCCCGAGTAACTGGGACTACAGGCATGCGCCACCATGCCCGGCTCATTTTTTGTATATATATTAGTTGGCCAATTAATTTCTTTCTATTTATAGTAGAGATGGGGTCTCGCTCTTGCTCAGGCTGATTTCGAACTCCTGACCTTGAGCAATCCACCCGCCTTGGCCTCCCAGAGTGCTAGGATTACAGGTGTGAGCCACCGCGCCCGGCCTGAAAAAGGACATATTATACTGTTGATCCTACTTGATTTAGGGGGCCATCGAGGCAGCGAAGTTTCATGGCCACGTGTCACCGCTGTGCAGAATCCCTACGAAAAGGCCAGGCTTTTCCATTCGCTAACTTGGCGCTCGTTTGGCAAGTGCCTCCAGGGTGCCGGGCACTTGGCTAGGCGCGCAGGTGGTGAACAGAACAGACTTGGTCCCTGTTGTCAGGCAGTGGGTGTGGGAGGGACGTCAGACAAACAGGTACATAATCAGAGGCTGTCATTAATGCTGTAGAGTAAAAGTACAGGGCACCACAACAGAGTCCGCGAGAGGGGAGGGGCCTGGTTGGCGGGCTTTTATTAAGAACTTACCGTGTGTCAGGGACTGCGCTGTGCTCAGACTGGGCTCTTTCGCTGCAGCCCTCACAGTGAGCTTGGGGCAGAGAGCTGAGATTTTCCCATGGGGAGGTCCTGTGGCTTTCACACCTTGCTCACCTGCTTCACATCTTAACGTGAAGATTGATGTTCAAGCACGTTGTTTTTTCAAAATACTGAGTGAAATTAGCACTGAATGAAGGAATTTACAGAAATATCAGTGTAAAATTTAAATTTAGCCTAAAGCTGTCTCCCTACGTATCTTAAGTTTGGCCTAGAGGTTTCTCTGTACATAGTAAGCTGTAACCTAACTTGATGTGTAAACAGACTGTGACGTGCTCCTGTAACAAGGAGCCAGGTCTCAGCCAATCACGGCCGCTGAACTTCAGTCAACCAGAGGCAGCCAGCTGCTCAGACCAGGTTCACATAAGGCCAACTCCAGCTTTAACCAATCAGGCGATCTCTGTACCTCACTTCTGCTTTCTGTGTCACTTCCCTTTTCCTTTCGATAAACGTCCAGCCACACAGCAGCCCTGGTGTCTCACTAAACCTGTCCTGGTTCTAGGGGCCGCCCCATTCACAAATCATTCTTTCCTCAGTTAAACTCTGTTCAATGTAATCTGTCTAAAGCTTCTTTTTTTTTTTTTTTGAGATGGGGACTTGCTGTATTGTCCAGGCTGGTCTCAAACTCCACCTGGGCTCAAGTGATCTTTCCTCCTCAGTCTCCCAAGTAGCTGGGAGTCCAGGCACATGCCACCATGTCCAGCTTCCATTAATAGCAGTTATTTCCTTGAGCTCGGATTCATATTCAACACAGAATTCATTTCCTTAACCATCCCAACTCTCATTTTTCATTTTATATATATATATATATATATTTTTTTTTTTTTGCCATTTTTTGAAAGACAATAGCATTGCTAAAAGGTAAAAAGCACATGAACTAAGATGCGCGCTTTCCTTGGGAACACAGCATAGGAAGGTCACCTCTCCTCCCTCCCCACCCCTGCCCTGTGTCAAAGACAGAGCTCCTGCTCAGGGACCAGCAGAGCCCAGAAGAGAGACATTTGGCTTCACGTTTATTTGTGTTCTTCTTTGCCCCCAGCCCACCTCACCAGGAGGCAATGTGAGAATTATAAAGAGAATGAGAGCGACACTGGGGAGCCCCCAAATGCAGCCCTGGTTTTGATGCACTCAGGGAAAGAGAGAGTTTCCTTGTCCTCAAGCTCATGTGACAAAGACGTGGCCTAGAATACGGCCCTGCTGGACAGGCCAGAGCCTGGCAGGCCTCCGTGGGTCCCTCCTAGGAGGCTCAGGCCTGAGGGGCAGGGCAGGCTGGGTTGGGGCGCAGCTCCGGGGTGATGAGCTGCAGGGTACCAAGAGGGCTGGCCTGGAGGAGCTCATGCCAATAAAGGAGAGTTTGGTTTGTACCCGGCCTCTCCCCCGAGTAATGTCTCTGTGGCACCTGCTGCGAGAAGCTGCTAGGGCTTCCTCTAAACCCAAAGCTGCACAGGAGAGGCCATCTGCAGAGCGGCAGGTGTGTGCACGGCTATCAGCTCTGAGAAGCTCACCTCTTCCCTGGCAAGGGGACAAGCATGTGGCCTGTGGTTTGTGGGACCCTTTCACACCTGCAGCAGCATTTGATCTGTATCACCTTCCAGGCAGGTAAGGAGCCTGAGGTTCAGGGTTGGTGGAGCTACCTATTGTCACACAGCTGGGTGGTGACAGACTCAACTGGGCATGTTTCTGTTATGGTTGCTGCCTCCGCATGACAAAGGGCTTCCTGCCATAGAAGGGAGAAGATAATTACCTGAGAGTGCCCCTTCCACAGCAGTATGGCCTGCTTTCTCTCCCTCCCCTCTGTAACCTGGGAAACCAGTTCACCCAAGTTGGTAATAACTGACAAGCCCACGACCCTCCAGCGTCTTTGTGATGCAGGGAAACAATGCCTTAATTAAAAGGACTGGTTTTTACAGTGGAACATAGGGCAAGAGATCTGCAGAAGAGGTATTTGAGGACCTCGCAGGAGATCCTTGCTCCTTCCCCGCCAGACACCAAGCTCCTGCATCCAGAGCAAGGTGCGTCTGCTTCACCCTGTCTCTGTGGTTCCAGGCACCCCTAACCTCCCCCCCCCCAGTAAATGAATCATTCATTCGCTCAATTCCTATTATATTCACTAAGAACCACACCTGTACCAGGCAATAAACTAGGCCCTACAGATATTGCTGTGAACTAGACTCTACTTATGTAGAGTCTCATGAGTGAGTTGGTCATTAAACAAACAGGGGCCAAATAATTATTTAGTCATAGTTGAGACTAGGTGTGGTATTAAGGCTAATGGCCACAACCGTATGTTCTGACCATTTAGGATTCAGTTGCTGATCTGTAATCTTATTTTGTAATCTGGCCAATATACTGACCAAATTCTAATTTTTTAAATCCACTTTGGTTTTTTTTATATACAGCCTATATGTTATAATTTTTGCAACTTAAAAGTTGTATTTAAGGTGCACAAAGGAAAGGAAAGGCACATATATCAAAGCTCTAGACAATCAGGTTTCCATTGCACCAAAATAAGATATTTTCACCAGTCTATTAAATCATTAGTATTTTAAAGTTCACAATAGCTTCTACAACAATATTACAATTATATAAAAATTACATGCATAAAATCATTAAAAGAAAATCACACTATAAATAGTAGATATTTATTAAGTGATATGATTATGGCTATTTTTACTATTGCCATTTTTAAAAATTTTTATATAACAGATGACCATTACTTTGTAAGAAAATGAACTTTTTAAAAGGCTGTTCCAATATATGATAGATAATCTCCTTTTCCTTTTGGAATCATTCATATTGCAAAGTCTGTTAGTATCTTACACTTAGTAAATGTTCATTATGTCTTTCTTTTCTTTCTCCACTATGTACTTCTTGACTGTAGAAATAGATTAATGAATTTTGAATCCCAAGTCAATAAGACCAACACATGGAAATTTTTGTCTTAAAGTGTTGAACTCAGATTTCCCAGTGACCACAGTCAAGACCTCTAGGCTTTCTCAAAAGCTTGTTTTCATTGTCTTATTCAGGTCTTGGCTATTTTGTTTATATGAATATGGGTTTGGAATATGGTAAATGGATTGAATTAAAGAAAAAATGTTTAAACACATTCTGAAATTTAATACTTCTCCAATTTGAATTATTAAAAATTATCTGTCTCTTATCTAGAGCAACATCCTGTAAACTTCTGAGAAAATCTCATTTATCATCAACAAATATTTGGATCCCTTCAGGATATTTGTTTTTCATTTGTGATTTTTATCTCCTTTGGAATCCTTCTGTGATAAGTTTGGTTGTGACTAATAAGCTCGAAAAGACCAGCTAGTATTGGATCCAAGCAGTTAGCATTTGGAAGGGTCGTTCGTGGTCATTGAGTCCAGCATCCCTCCCAAAGCGGGAATCTCTTCTGCAGCCTTCGTCACTGGTCCTTGGTGTCTGCTTGAATATTCCATTTACTGAGAAGCTCACTACCTCCCAAGGAAGCCTAGTTTGTTTTTTTAAAAAAGATGCTTATCTTTAAATTCTATGCACCATAGATGAAAGTTTCATTTTGTTTAGATGTGCACTTCTGATCTCCAGCACAGAACTCAGCATATCAAAGCTCTTCAATAAATGTTCATGGCCTGAACAAGCGGAAGTTTGAATTCACTCACTCGATCAGCATATTTATCGACTGTCTACTGTGCAGTACACTGGGGCACAGCAGCGGACAAGAAAGACTTGGGTCCCTGCCCAGAAGGCATTTCATTGTAGCTGGAATGAACCGTCTACCCATATTTCCCTTTCCTGTTTAAATCCTAGCCATGTCGCCAGCGGGCAGAGGGGAAGCAGCCACCATCAGGACAGGCTGAGGACTATGTGGGCGGTTCCTGCATATTCCTAGACATTACTCAGGAACCCCAGTGGAAGACCAGGCTTCCTATCAGGATGGGCTGGTGGGTGTTTGCAGTCAGTATTGTTTGCATATTAAAGAAATGCAACCTTATTTTATACCTAAAGCTGTTGGAGCAGGGTATTCCATAGAGAGAGAGATAAAATGGAGATATGTTAGCCCATACACTTATATTTCTACTTATTGATGCATTTACACATGTATGCACACATATATCTACACTTATTCTTATTCAAACACACATACACACTCACATAAACATGGAAAGATGATCACCTAATTTTTAAAATGATCGTCTCTAAGTAGTGGGATTATGGATTTATTCTTGTGCTCTTCTATATT